CGGTTTCCTCCAGCCCGGATTAGCTACAGCGAATAAGGCGCAGTGCGGCAGCAGACAGCTGGGCATACGCAATACGTGCCCTAGTCAGCGAAGTTTACTAATCTGGATTCGGTGTGCCAGCAGGTTTATAACTGATAGACTCCCAAACACACGACGGCTTACCTCCGCGTTACTAACCCGTTCGCTCCATCTAACGTGGGCTAAACTGCGTAAACACCAATAATCGAAAACTTCTAGTCGACGGATATCCTCCACTAGCAAATTCAAGGTCTCATAACCATAAAGCAGAACGAACGCTAGCACAACATACACGAACTTTCAACTTCAGTGAAACGTCGCTTAAACGCCAAATGTATTTTAGTCCTGCGTATGCTACTCGGGCCTTGGAAATGCGGGCGGTTATCTCCTTTGCTGCACTACCGTCATTGGTCACGCAACTACCTAAGTAGGAAAAGTAATCCACCACAACTAAATCCTGGCCATTTAATGTCAGAGTGGGAGTAGACGAAACCCAGTCCTGCAGCATCACTTAGAACTTTGAATGTACAAAGCACATACCGAATGTGGCAACTGCACTTGTTATTCTATCAAGTGCGCTTTGGGCGTCCTCTATACATTCGAACAGACAGACAATGTTATCGGTATACTCTAAATCGTATAGCTTTTCTCCAGCTGCCCATTCAATACCTACGTTCTGGAGTCCGTTTAGTGCGCTCCCCAGTATTTCGTCTACGACGAAAGTGAATAGGAACGGCAAAGGAGGGCACCCTTGACGAACGCCGCTGCTGGTGACGAACGGCCTACTAAGATTGTTGTAAACCCTTACGCGACCGGAGGCCTGTGAGTACAGTGACCTCAGTAGGTCAACGTACTTCTGGAGAATTCCTTTTCGAAGAAGAAAGCCCATCAGAGCTTCGCGGTCAACTGATTTGAAGGCTCATTTCAGGTCAAGGAACACTGCGATCGTTGGCAGACGGTGGGTATGACGCAGCTCAAGGACTTGACGCAACGTAAGAATTTGATCAATACTTCCACGGCCAGGCCGTAATCCGGCTTGCTGTTCACGGATGTTGGTCTCTCTTAAAGGCGTCAGACGTCGAAGTATAACCCAAGCTAGCACTTTGGTGATGATCGCGATTAAACTTATCCCGGGGTGGTTTTCGCGATCGTTGTGATATCCTTTTTTGAAAATGGGAACGATCAGTGACTCGCCCCAAGATGAAGGAATGCGCTCTTGCGTCTAAATGTTGCTCCATCTTGAACAGAGTGGGAAAGAGCTCATCTGGTCCTGCTGCCTTTCCTCGCTTCATAGCTTGAATGCAAGACCGGGCTTATGCTTCCGTTGGAGGATCACATGACACTGCCCACGGATCTTCAGTTGTAGATGAAGCAGTCTGGTTAGCACTAAACCAGCTGAACTGTTCACTGAAGTATTTTACCCAGCGATCGAGTCGTTGATCCTTATTGCGAATAGCTCGTCCCCTCTTATCGCAGACTGTTTCACTAACTGAAGTTCACCGACATCCCGTATTGCGCATCAGTCGGAATAGCTTTTGACTATTCCCTGATACAACTGCTATTTCCAGTTCACTAGCGATTGTCGCCCACCAGTTCTCACGGTCCTTCTTGAGGCTCTTCGTGAGCTGAAGTTGTGGATGCCACCTAACTCTATTTTGATCATGACAGGTCGGGATTTGTCGTTTTTGCTCCATCAGGGCTACTGACTCCTGAGATATCCAATGCCTCCGATGGGTTTGAGGCTCAGACCCACAAGCAACATTCGCTGCGGAATGCATTGCTCGCCTAATCTGATCCCACTGCTCGTCTACATCACCACGCTGAAGCGCACTTAGCTTACGCACTAGCTCTGACTCATAGAGTGCATTAACTGCTGGAACAGGTAGTCGTTGATGATCTATTCGAGCTTGCTGGTTTTTTCGCCGACCAGTCAGTCGGAGAATGAACTGTATCAAAACT